GCCCCCCCGGCACAGCGCGTCCCGCCCCGGGGAGGGAGTGAGAGCTGCAGCACCGGGCCCACAGGGCCCGAGCTCCTGGGCGGGGGTCGCCGCCTGCTGGTGATGCCAGGCTGGCCAAGGGAGAGCCAGCACCTCTTCTGGGGCACAGAGCAACTCTTAGTAGCTTCCAGGGTGGGTTGGCAGGAGATGCTGACTGATTCTGCTCGTGAGAAAATGAAACCTCAGCATGTGCACGAGAACATGGTACATACCAACACCTGAAACTCACTAGTGCAACAGGAGGGCACTAGATTCACCATGGGGCCCTGTTAAGGAGCTATACTTCAATGAGATGTTTCAGGTCCTCCATGTAGTACATTTCTCACTAATTCTGCTGGAGAACTAAAAAGCAAGATAACATACGAATTTCAATACACAAAGTATCCTCAAAACACCAACCACTTGAGAGCATCTGACCAAACAGAGCTCACTTCAAAATAACAAATCTGGCTTTGTATACTGTACTTGCTCTTTTATCTTGCTTCTCAAGATTTCTGCTGTTTTGCTTAAGAAACCTTGAAAATTTGAAGCAAGGCAGTAGTGTAACAAAATAAGACAGTGTTTCTCCTCAGAGAGGAAACATGGAGATCTTTTCTCCTCCAGCTACGCACTTAGTGGTATCTGCTCATAACGATGAATTCTTTCAAAGACCTAATTGTACTATTCCCCTAACAGTAATTTCACCAAAGCTTTCAAGAAATTAAGATAAATTGGATTATTGGACTTTTTCTTTATTCACATTTACAGAGGTGTCTCAGCAACAGTTCCTAAACAAAATCCTATAGCTGCAACACCTGGTTGTAATGCAGCTGTTACTGCCTTTTCTTGTAGTTACTATTATCCATAACTTGTCATGTCAATTTATTCTCAAAGACCAAACACAGAGGAGGAATAATACTGGTAACACAAGCTGCAATAACAGCATAAAACTGCTTTATGGGCCTTTGAGGGTTTAAGCTTGAGGAGAGGAAGGGTATTAAAGGGTATTTTGAAAACTCTACTACAGTATTTGCCTTATGTTAACAAAATGTAATTCTCACCCACTCCTCCAACACCTTCTTACTAAGGAAGGGGAAACATCAGCACAAGTGGATGGGAACAAGTGCACGCAGTTCTACCACCAAGCTAGGAAAGGAGGGGTCTCAAAAGCAACAGCAAAACGGAGGCAATTTAGTTTGACTGCACCACCACCAATAACAAGCTGCTTCAGAACTGGAGGTACCAGTTGGGAACTCGTACAGAAATGCTTCAAGTCAGGAAGTACAACTCTGAACAGTACAGACAGGATCTGCAGGATCTCCTTAACAAAAGGATTTTGTGAAAAGCCAGTTTTAAGCAACAAGGAGAAATTACATGGTGCTTAAGACTTAATCCTGCAGCCTTTACCTCTGGACTAAATCAAAGCTAGGCAACAGCTCTTCTTTTGAAGCACCAGCACAGCAAAACTAATGCAGGAAAGCTTTAATCATATGGAGCTTCCCACTGTTAGAAGTAACGTTACTGATTGCTCCCGGGAAGTAAGAGGATGGGAGATTTAATTCCAAACCAAGAAAATGAATGAGTGCACAGAGCTGAGACTAACAGTACAGCTGCTGGATTCTGGTTTAGGTTTGTTGGGGTTTTTTTGACCTAGTAAAATGAATGTCTGATTTTCTCTGAACTGCAGGGAAAACCTCAAACTTCATAAGCACACCCTGCAGAGATGAAGCAGATTCAGAAACTGTTTCACTGCTGAGGAGTAATGAGGCAGAATGAATTACTGAACTCAAAATGCAGTTAACATTTTATACAAGCAGAACGCTTGCATTTTTTTTCCTGCAGATCCATCAATGATGGTCTTTACCTTCTAACAAGAGCAATGCAAAATGCACTGAACTTCCATTCACAACAGTTATACAACTACTTCATCAGCACCAAATGAAAACCTCAAAATGTGTTTTTTGTTATCATGACAGTGAAAATTCACTATTCACCTTGAAGGACTAGTACGTGTTCCAGCATTACTTTTGGATTTAGAGAACATAATAATCTTAGCTCCCACTTGATTTGTTTCTTCTAGATCTCCAACAGACTGCAACTTGCATCTTCAATTAGATAATCTTAATTCAAGCAGTTTTTAAAATAAATGAATTTATGGCTGTCACCATGTGTTCTGCAATCAACAAATGACATTTTTAATAAACTGTACTGAAATGAAGAATAACAAAAAAAAGGGATTTTTATATAATCTACGGACAGGTCTGTAGGATCACATGCCATTATCAAAGCAATCTCTACCAATTTCCTTGGCAGAGGATTCAACTGAAGTAGAAAACTTAAATCTGCCTCCTCACACAGGAACTCTTGCCTTATGACACACAGACAACAACAATCCACTTTCAACTTGACCTAGATGATACAGATTATCTGTTCTAAGGTTATGATATTTCAAGTATATCTTGGCCCTATTTGTTAGTTTCAGACTGAAGCTAAATTTCACTTCATTAGGACAGACTTCGACACTGCTGCCAAGTTTGTTTTGTTCCTTTTACTGCTGATTCTGATTTAATATACACAAGTCCGTGCGAGCTTTGCTAAGAAGTCCAAGGAATAATCAGTTTTACATTTCAAATAAGTATTAAGAGATGCACTGTGCATCTAAAAGCAGATCTTGCAACAACGGTATATTTTCCCTAACCTTCCTAAAACATAAGGCAGGAATGACCCGTTAGTAACTACAACTGGAGGGCATGTATTATTCCTATTTCTCTTGCTACACCGATGCTGGCAAACTAGTGCAATCCAAAATACAGTTTCCTCAACTACAGTTAGAATTAATGACAGTACTACATTTTTCTGCCTTCTAGTGTTTAATTTGTATAGGGCAAATGGTTAACTGTTCCCTAACAGTAAAGCCAGTAAGAGGACACAAATTAAGTACTTATTTAATACAAACACTTCTACCAAAGCTTTTCCTTCCCCCGCACCCCCCCTATTTTTTTAAAGACAGTATACCATTCCAAGGGGCAAACTAAGAACAACTACACTTTTAACTCCATATAACATTAAGATTTACTACATCTACAGCAGTCTGGGAAAGAAAACCCAAGTAAGACTAGTATCAGAATCTCCTTGTTCTAGTAATTAATGTATATTATTGACATCCTTAACATTCAGTAGGTTAAAACTAAGTTAGTTGGTTTATTGTTTTTGTTTAAAAAAAAAATTCAAACAATTTTAGGCTAACTTCTGCACTTTAGCTAAAAAAATACTAGAAGCACAACTATTTAGAAATGAGTGTTGAAGAGAGACTTATTTCTCACACCTTTTGCTAGCTTAACGTTTACCATTGAGTTATACATTCTATAAAGTGGAGTACTAAAGAAAGGTACTTCCAGGGCACTCTAATGGAACTCACACTTTATAAAAATGTTTAGTATATCTGAAGTATTTTTACTGATTCAGGTTTTAACATATCTTGCTTTACTTTGTCAGAGATTTTTGTGGTGGTTTTTGTTTTGTTTCTCCCCTTCTCATCCCTGATTCCACTTGAGGTTGTAAATGTGATAGATGATTTAAAGACTTACTCTTGCCAAATTACATACCTGGAGAGGCAAGTCTACATAAAGAAATTAAAGAGATAGTATTAACAAACTGTAACAAGAAGTGATAAAAAAGAAGCTAGATTTCCTCACTAAATTCTTGCTGCACTCCCTAGCAGGGTGGAATAGGAATCCAGGTTTATCACTGACACGCTATGTAAATGTGATACTCGGGAACTAACATATAATCAGCATTTTACACAACTGTTTGTATTGGCACTATGACTGGACAACTACCCTTAAATAAATACACTTCTTATAAAAAGGCAACACACAAGTAGTAATCAATTTATAAAAAATGCTGCTCCAAGATTTCAGGTGTGCAGAACTGTAAGTTTACTTCAGAATAAAACACAGACAGAGGGGAGAATCAAAACTTTTAGAGTTGTACTTGACCATATATTTGGACAAAGCAGAATTACACTGCATATAACAAACAGTAAAATTTCTTAAAAGTTGTTACAAATATTTTACTTTCTACCTGTACGATCATTAACATAGTTTACTATATCAAGATTTTTTTTCTAAAGGCTTAAAACAAAAACAATTCCTCTAAACTACTTTCCAACAGTAAAATTTAAGTAAAATGCTTACATTCATTTGACAACAAAAAAAACATATTAAAAATGTTGTGTGGGTGGTGCAAGAGCTGCTCTTTCAGCTGCAACTTTCTTCCAAGGTTATTCCTGTGGAAAGAAAAAAAAAAAGTCTTCTTGTAAACTGTTAATAACCAAACTCTGAAATCTTTAAGTGATTCACTCACATGCCCACACAATTACTTGAGATTTTGCAAGATAAATTGTCTGCCACTTGCTAAACTGTTTACCTTTTCCTCTTTGCGTCTGTCCTTTTCTTCATTATTTTCAATCGTTTCTTCTTCATCTTCCACAATCCCATCCCCTTGATATTTGTCATGTGTCCACTTCGGACTGCTACCTGACTTTTTGAAGTTAAAACGGCCTCTGCCACGCTGGAAAGTACCACGGCCTCTTCCTCTTTTGGCCCAATAATCCACACCATCGTCTCTGTCATCATGCTACAATAACACCAGAAAAAGAATAAGGTTAGAACACCTCTTAAAGGTACCCCTTAAATGTTAGTACTCCAACATCAAATTTGTACTAGACGTAGAAATAAATAACTTTTTAACAGTTCAGATAATAACCTATAGAATACGTTATGAAGTTAATCCTTAACAATTCATGATGCTACAACTAAAACCACAACAATAAAATTGCTTTCAGAGCCCTTAATAGCTGTGGGTCTACTCAAATGTTTGCGAGTAACAAATCAGTTATCTGTCACTTATCTTCACTCAGAAGAATTACTCACTAGCTTTGAGAAAAAAAAAAACTGATTTTACAGGAAGAAGCTCTAGGAACATGCTAGGATTTTTTTTACTTTTACTTTAATGCAGAGATAGAGCTCTTTATACTTATTAAGGAAAAGTAATTGAAGGCAGTTTTCAGAAACCCTGCTTAACCTGCGCAATGTGGGGCAAATGAAGTTTAAACTGTTTAAATCTGACATTAACAAACAACAGTTGAGTTTCTTGAGTTAATAAACTAAAAGTTTGCTATCTTGTTACCAAATGTAGCCTTACATATAATTTTAGTAAGTCTTCTGACATTCACTTCATGCACTGCATGAACACTACAGACAATAATTTAATATAAAAATGGTTTATATTTAGAAGAGTGAGGTACACTTGCTTCAACTTTTTTTTTTTTACTTGTGATTTGGAAAGAAATCTTAATTATTAAACACATACCACACCTATATAAAGCAGTTTATTAACAATTATATATTGTAAGAACAGTTAAAGGGTGGCTATTTTTTTAAATTAAAAATTTTTTAGAGATGAGAAAAAAAATACTAGCCACAATTATTTGTTCTAGCTAATATAGAATTTCTTAATGAACAGATTATCACATCTCTTTCTGTGTTTATAGATCACAAAAGTTTACACGTGTGGGGAGACAGGAGAACTCCTTGTACAAACATCCAAATTGTGATTGCATTATTTCTTGGATTACCTGTTAAACATATTTGTGACTACCTATAATGCTATATAGGATAAGGTCTAATCTTCACTACTTAACATTTTCCAATGGTGACACAATATCCTTACAAGTTTGCAGGGTTAAGGAAATCAGCTGGAACAGAGGCTACGTATTCACTATACTACACTACTTACTGGGTGGTTACATCAACAATCCTCTTTTCATAATCCAGGTGGGAAAAAGGCATAAAAGCTAAAGTGATTTTCTTAGGACTATCACACTACTCGGTAAGAACACAAGGCGTGCTAATAAGAGTCAGCCTCCGTACATCTACAAATACCGTCAGCTTTTCCTGATCTTTCACTTCTGCAGACTTCCAGACCAAATCTAAGACAAAGCTCAAACACCATACAGACATAAATCCGGGAAAACACAGCACAGGTATTTTTGATTTAAAATTTGTTTTTAACAATTTTAGTCTGAGTCTGCTTCTCTCCCACTCACTGATGAAATTTTTGGAGACGAATTCCATGTCAGGCCTCAGTTATTGCCAGCCTGCTGTGGAAAGATGCAAGAGAAGCAGAACCAGGCACTACAACCACCCTGATATTCTCATGGTTACATAACTGAAGTCCCTGTCCGTACATGCATGCTACTTCTACGCTTGTAGAAAGTTTGAAAAACAAAAGCATGCATAAGATATTGAGTTCTCCACACCCACCAAGAAGTATTTCTTGCTTTTTGGGGTATATTCAGGATCCCACTCCTCTTCCTTCGGTCTCTTCTGAAAAGTAGTATTAGAGTTGCTGGGACCAGTATTTGTTCCAGCAAAGACTCCTCTGGCTCTTCCTCTGCCCCTAATTCGAAACTGATTAACCAAAATGTCATTTAATCCATTTACATAAAACCACAAAGAAGAATTCAAGTTCTCTATTACTGAAAATGTTCTTTCTGTGCTTAATTACAGTATCTGAAAGTGTAAAACTATTTTCAAATTCACATATTACCTTAAGTAATATATTCAAGCATTCACTTTGAAATAATGATTCTATTAAACTATATTGAAACACATTTGACTTCTTGGCATAAATTCACCCACAACCACGAAAAATAAGTTTTCTTTGACTGCTGTTAAACCAATGTGTTGCAACAAAAGGTCAGAAGAAGTTCCTGAAGCTGTTCATAGACAAAACCAAACAGAAAAACTAGAGCGAAAGAGGGAGAAAACTGTTAGGGGGAAAAGAAAGGTCATTTATGGAGTCAGTCATATTGGTAATGAAAAAGTGTGCTACAATACATACAAACAATGCAGTTTTCAAATAAATATATCCACTTTGTGTTACTCAAACATTTTCAACTGGGATTCAAAAATGTACTTTAGGCCAAATTAAATTTCAAATGAGTATATTCTTTACTCAGAAACTGGATCTTCAGGGTAACTGTACAAAAATGTGACAAGAAATTAATTTCATTTATTAAAAATAAGTATGTTTCATAAACACAGACCAAAAAAATATGTAATATGAAAGAGGAGTATTATGCACACTTACTTCCACAAAGCTCCAACATTACTAATGCAGAATTTATGCTGGACAGTTTTAAAACTACTCTGAAATCAGACTGAATAAACAATCGCTAAGAGGCTCATAAGACCTATCCACTACACTTTAGGCAAACAAAAAAAGAAAAATAATTTCTTGGAGAATCATCTGGAAAGTGACAGACTATCAGACTATCACCTGAAAAAACTGCACGAGGGGAAATACTACATGCTTTATTTCCAAGAGCTTTGAAACCTTTATAAAATTAGGGCACAACAAGCAGTATCACGGTGGGGGGGAAAAGGATGTAGAGACAAAATTATGACAGGATTAAAAAAAAAAAGATCAGCATTTCCTAGTATTATGTCCTATGATCAGGTTCCCTTTAAGAAAAATATCTAGAGCTTTTCTCAACACTGTATTAATACCCTCCCCCTTCCCACCAAGGCCATCTTTCAGGCAAAGAAATATGGGAGCCAAAATACACTATGGTGTTATCTTTATGGGCTTACTGCAAAGACCATCACAAAAAAGGACAGAGTACATTTTCTATAGAAAGAGAAAACTGCTTTTAAACAGAACTGTTACACACAGAATTCTTTAGAAGCTGGACACTAATGACAGTGTCATTAGAAGATTGTACTTACCCTTATTTCTGTGTTCCTACTTTGAAACTATTCATTATGTTTATGTACAAGAAGCGCAGAATTAAACATTATAGTCTATCAGCAAGTGTTAGTGAAAAATCATTGCTTATTTAACATTAAATTGACAGCTTAGCTTACAGTAAAGCCTACCCTATCCAGTAAGCTATGCTCTCCCAGTATATCAAGGCTTCCTGCCTTGGGGAGGATTCACAACCAAAACATTTACTCCAAAAGCAAAGTGGTATTTACGGGAATGCAGCCACTGTTAGCCTGCATTACAAAGACATCCCTACACTAGCCAGTCTGCATGTTTCAACACTATCTAAACTATATTCCTAAAGAGAAGATTTGAGTCAATAGGTTGGCCTATTTAGATTCTCCTCTTCAGACTGTTCAACAAGCCTGTGTGTGACCATGTATGCTATTAGGGAACAATAACCAGTTAATACTGCATAGTAAGAACTGGCAGTCACCAGCCAGTTAAATTAGTAGAACTCTTAAATAACTTTCCAATTACTTAAGTTTCACGTAAAGTAGCATCTCTTTCACAATACGTACAATCTGGCTTTACAAAGGAGTTAAGGTTTCCACCAATTAGAAGTTTTTTTCAACTGAAGCTCTACTTCCATTTAACTCAGTGCCACTAGTTTCTACAGCTAGAAATTGTGCTGATATTGTCATATTTGATGCCTACACCATTCAAGGGTTTACAGATTTATGCCACATAGCTGTTCCTTACTACAATTATAAAAACAAACAAACAAGAAAGGAGGAAATTATGCATTTTTACTGTTAGAAATTTAGAAATTTAAATTTTCTTTTAAATAACTACAGGTTTTTTAGATGGAAGACTCAAACCTTAACTCAAGTCCTGCACACCCCACATGCATTTCAGACACCCTCATGTACAGTTCAAAACTTCTTTTACACTACTACAAACAAGACGATGTACATTTATACCAAACAATTCATACTATTCAGTCTTAATTACAGCCTACATGAAAGAATTATTGTAAAAGTATGAAATTACTCCTACCTGTTATGTAAGTCTACTTAAAATTTTTTTCCCCACCCAAACATGGAACTTGGTTTTATGTGTTTTGTTTTGGTTTTGGAGTTTTTTTGAGTGTGTTTGGTTTTTATTGAAAGTATTCATCTTTTCAAGGCCTCCTTTATTATCCCTAGCCTTTCCTACTGTTCCTACATTTACCAATTAAATATCAGTAATTACATTAACATGGAGTTTAACTTTAAAATTTTTCTGAAGACTATAGTGGTCAACGTGTCACTTTCCAAATCACAATGCCAAAACACATTCCAGAGCTAAATTAATGGGCTTTCATGCTCACTGTGGCTAGTCCAGTCCAAAGAAACACTGAAAAATAACAAGTATACCATCTCCTCTCCTCAATACAACTATTTCAAGGTTGATGTATATTTTCAGTTATGTGCCATTTTCTATTTAACAAGTTGAAGGCATCACACACAAAGGAGGGCAAAACCAAACTGAAAATGACAAGGAAAAACAGAAGCTGCAGGGAGTTAGGGGGTAAGAGAGATCATAAGATTCAATCTTTACAGAGAGGTAAATTTTTAGATCCTGTTAGGAAACAACATCATTACAAAAGAGCAAGGAATAAGCAAGAAATCATCTTTCCTACCCTTACACTATGGTCTCCAATGGCATACTAATGCATATTCACACACCAATTAATTGCTATTGGACAGTGCTGGGAAAAAACCCAACTTTTCAGGTCTGGTACACCACATGAAAGAATTCAAGAATCACTGCTATAAAAGTAGTCTAGCCTGACATTTATCACTGCAACACTTTGTTATTTTATTTGTTGTACTATTAGTGAAGTGTTCATAATTTGGGGGAAAAATAAGAGAGCAACTTACAAAGGTGCCTCTTGGCCTGTTGACTCCTGCAAAACCAGAGTATTCTTTCTGTTCATGGTGGGTTTTGAACTCTTCATCTCTTTCTTTTTTGCAATCTTTCTCTTCTCGAGAACTGGATGAGGAAGAAGATGGGGAGGGAGATGGGGAGGACCGAGCACGATCTTGATCTCTTTTTTGTTTACTGAAAAATAAAAAGATACACTGTGTGCTATTTTAAAAGCACTGGATAGTCTGTAACATGCTAAACTAAAAAGGGTCTCTATATTTTATGAAAAACTATCCCCCTTCTGGTTATGAAGTCACATATGTTACATATTTCAGATGTTAAGGTGAAGTATAGTTCCACTTTCCAGCCTCGTCTTACACATTTAAATGCACTAAATGTATATTATTGCTAGTGAGTTGGAAAGCAGCAGTCTGCAAACTGCAAATACAGTTTTTCTATGTTTGATGCCATTAAGAGATTTCTGTTACTTTTAAGATCTGCCTTTTTTCTGAGGCAGAAAAACAGAAATTGAAGAGAGAAAACCTTCAAGGGAAAGTTTTACAGTAACTTTACATAGTTCAGTTTGCACACTGTTGAGAAGGTATGGTGTGGGCTTCCCTGCGTAGATGGCTGTATGGAATTAGCCAGTGGAAGATAATGTGGATACCAAAGTCAGAAAGTAAATAGGAAACAGGAAGCATAAGTAAAACTTCATTGTATATCCAGTACAAAGCAGGGAAAAAAATTCCTACAGGAAGACTTTTAGTAACCCCACAGTGGTACTAATTTGACCCGATTTACAAGACTTAATATTCTATTTCAAAAGAAGGTCATACCTGAAGTAACTCTTACCACTGCTACACAGTATCCACTGAGATATGCTAACATTTTTTTCTTAAAAACAGCCCACTAGCTTTATAGACAAAAATGAAAATTCCCCTTCTCACCCATGTTAAAACCTAAGTATCAGTAAGAGTCTCATACTCTGGGTGTTATGAGTTGAAAAAGTGCGGAATCAAGCATAACGAACCAAAGTTCTTACACAAACTGTTTATAGAAATGTATTGCATTGAAGTCCAACCTCCTGATGTAGCCTGGATAATAGGACAGATTAATTTGTCATTTTTTTTTTCAGTGTTAGCTTGCTATTCCAAAGTTTTTGTCCTCATCCACCATAAGCCGTGTAAAAGACAGATAATACATATTTGCTGTAAAACAAATAATTTTAATTGTTTAAATTTAAATGTTCCATTATACATTGAAAATTGAAAGCAATTAAGCTTACAATTAGAAAAAGGCTAATTAGAAGCTAAAAACCTATATAGGGACTTCAAACATTTACCTGTCATCTTTGTAAGATTTGTAATCCTTGTAATCTTTTGCAGTTTTCTCCTGCTTTCTTGACCCACTGGATTCCCTGGAACCCTTTGAGTCTCCTCGCTCTTTACTTCGCTCTTTTCTACGTCGGTCAATGTCATGCCGAAGATCAGCAGAATCACATCTTAATTTTTTATCTCCCTGTAAACAAATACATACTTTGGAACAACACTTTGAAATAAAACACCCAGAAGAGAATCAGAATGGAAAGGCAAGTTGTGCATCCACTTTCAAAAAAGCAAGACAGAATATACCTATTTTTCAACAAACTCTTCAGCACACAAATTGACTTTAAGTGAATGCCTTTTACATATAATGTCTAGATATTTAAAAAACAAAAACAAAAACCCAGCTAAGAATTTCATTTTCAAACAAGCATTCCCATCAAGCCAATAGGATACCTATTTTTTGATGCAGAAGACAGACCACAATACATGGTTTGGGAGGATGTTTTAAGTATTAATTTCTTATGGTGAATTGTTTTTAACAGATCACGAGCACCTTTTCAATTCAACCATACTACTCACTGATCACCTCAGTACTTTTTATTTTCTCCCCCCTTCTATTCTTTGTCCTTGCACAGCATAGCACCACCAAACTTGTCAAGAATGTCTAAGAAAGGAAGGGTGGGAGAAGACTTGACCTTAAATGCCATGTTATCAAGGTAGTAAAATCATGCCAAATAAGATGGCTTGTTGGCAACGTGTTTTCCGCAAAGGAAAAAAACATTGTTCTAAATACAAGTACCCCAGATATGATATACACAAATTATTTTTGTATTTTTATGCAGAAAGTTCAGATTTGAAGGGAAACACAAACTAAGTTTAGAAATACAGATAGGATGTTTACTTAGAACCTACTTTTTGACTTTCTTCTTTAAAGACTCTCTCTTCACCTGCTAAACGGGTATGCTTCCTCAGGGTACTTGGAGAGATGTCAATCCTCCTAAATGTAAAATAAAAGCAGTGTCTTGCCATATATACAGGTGAGTCTTAATGGCTCCAATTTCTCTTCAACAGAATACCGAGAAACAAGGCATTTTCACAGTAGAACAAACTTTTTGCATATAGAGCCCCACCATCAGAATACTGAATCAGACTAAGAATTAAAAACCTTGGTTCTGTTCTGAAGTATGCTAAAAACACACAGAAAACAAAATGTGGAAAATCAAACTGCCTAAGTACAGCTTTGAAGATTAAAAAAAATATGTTAAATGAGTTACTTCATTGTATCAAAAGATCAGTATATGTAGGCATCCGAAAAACCATCCCCCCAAGAAATCAACAACATTATGACAGTTTGCTGTAAAGTCAAAAAAACTTAACCTTAAAGAAAACTTATGAAGTTGAAAACTGAATATGGATATAATTCATCCTCACATGCAACACAAATATAGTACACTGCATCATAAAACGATAGCACATGATCAAAAACTACATCTGCATGCCTACCTTCTTACCTTTCAGGCTCTCAGATTTTTCAAAAAACTGCTGTAAATTAACACACACAAAAACTAAAGTAGTATGAGATGGAACATTTCACACTGAAGAATAAAGATGCATGTACAGGGCTTCTTTTCATCTTCAAGACATATGCCCCTCAATATTTGAGCACTGCATGTGAGAAAAGTAAATATATCCCAAATGAGGTACAGAAATAGAGAATACATCTGCTACAAAACCACAGGTGAAGCCAGACTTGGCTCAGATGAGTTCTCTTTTACAGAAGGGGGTTTTGGTGGGGTTTTTTTAGTATTTTGTATTTACACAGAAATTGACAAATTACTTGACACAGATTAGAAACAATGGGGTTCACAGAAGAAATATTTGCAAAGGTTATTTGAAACACAAAGAATCTACATATGCATTAACATATACCTATGTATTTCCGGGCTCTTTTGCCGGGTGCAGTGTTCTTCAGTAGCTTTTTGATATGCAGTGAACCTCTCATTTAGGGTCATTCCAGCTGACTTGAAGTATTGCTCTGTTGGTTACAATAGAAAAAAACACTGTTTCATTAGTTTAATTCAACAGACAGGTATTTTACTCCTGATAGAAAGGCAAGTAGCAGGCAAAAACAGTATTTTCAATGAAGCTATTGGGACAAGCAAATGTGGTGTTTTTCCCTATTTTTACTCATTCTGCAACCCAAACAAAGAAACAGTGCACAGCATCACTGCAGGTCTACTTATAATTCTGCCATGACTGTATTACATCTAATTCAAGCATCATTTACTGACTGGACTCACTCATTTTCAATGACATTTTCCTCTAACAAAACAGAAGGAGCAATTTCTTAACAGTTACTTTATACTTTGCCCATAAGAGAAGATGAAGTTACTTTGAGTCACGAATACTTGCAATAAGTATATTTTACTATTCATCTCATCTTTAACTTAAAATAGTAGTTAATTCAGTGAAAACAAGTAATGTATGCTTCAATAACTACATGAATGACCTAACAAGTCATTTCTTAAAGGAATATAATTTCTTGACTTGACGTTGTGATGATAAACGATCCAAGACAATTAACAACACACCTACATGTAAATAAATTCATTTAAGCATCTGGCATCTTGGCAAACTTGACAACTTCTCTGACAAATTTTCTCTTTCCTTCAGAGACAGTTAAATTAGCAACAGCAAAACTCAGTTTTTAAACCAGCTCAACAAATGTGTTTAAATGTAATATAGAAATACATAAAGTCATGAGCTATGAAATGTTACATATGAAGCAAGCTATCTGCTTAACAGGTCAACATACATCTGTATCAACTTACCGCCCAGCATCCAGTATTTGTCTCATAACCAACCATTAAAACTTGAAACGGCCACTACAAGGGTAGTGCCTCAATCATAATTCCATCAAACACAGGAATTTGAGCTAGCAATTCTGTTTTTATGCCATTTTTGCCAGGAAGACAGAAGGTTCAACTTTGCCTGTTTGGCATCTGTATCTTTCAACAGCTATTTTACTTTTGTAACATGGATTTTGCCATTTCAAAACACATTCCAGGACCTAGTTACAATGAAAAAGAAAACATCACTGGGCATTTTCAGCTCTACATTAATAAAGAGCTGTTCAGACTGGTCGCATCACACCAATAACGAACATAGTAACTCTTGACAATTTTGACAAAAGTTAAAATCTGATCACAGACCACAGTAAATTTGAAACTTAAAGCGAGGTTCTGCTTTCAAAAACAACCATAACTGTACATATTCTAATAACTTGACCAGCTAGGCTGTTAAAGCTGTTATATTTACCAGGTATTTTTTTAACATACAAAGTTTACAGAAAAACAGTGTATTCTGTGATCAACACATGAGTTTCAGGAATACTATTTCACCTACAGCCTACATACGTACCATATAAGCAAAAATTTACAGAAGCTCTCACTGCATTGAACTTTAAATCTGTTTACATATCAATAAAATAGATACTTTCACAACAAAGATCAATATATTCTAAACAAGTGTCCCATAAGAATTTTTTTTTAAACTCATACATTATCACAATCTATTACTGTTGACTATTACTTTACTCTTTATAAGTAACTAAAAATACAGGAAATCATTCAGCCTTAGTAATATGAATTTTGTCAACAAAAATGAGACTTTTAAGGTAACCTTAGCACATACTTCTAGCATGCAAGTCTTTGGAATTTTAGAAGTTAAGGCATCTTAAAAAACAATGTTTACAGACAGACACACTGAAACTGGTCACCTAATTAAGCATTTCCATACTCCCCCTTTGAATAATAATAATGGCAAAATTATGGAAGAATTTGCTGGTGAAAATATTATCTCAGTACATTAAACACAAGAACAAGACAACAGCCCAGTGAAATAAAGTAAATGCTATGGAAAAAAAAAGCATTTAAAGAACTCTCCAGATATCCTCATTGGATTTTAAGGACTTACGTACTTTCCCATCAGAAAACTTGGACAGGATATGTGACCAAAATGAAATATATCTACTTGGATGGTTTGGGATTGGGTTTTGGTGGTTTGGGGTTTTTTCGTTGTTGTTTAGTTGGGGTTTTTGGGGCGTTTAAAGTAAGCCACCACTACTGTTAAATCAAAAAACAGTTAGTGTATAATTCATTTAATGGAGGTTTATTTAGCCACTGCCAAGTTCTTGTAAACGAAATTCCTGGCTCCAGCACTACCATACTGTCAAATAGGAATAAAATGAAATATCACAGTGTGATTTAATATTTAGAGCACAATTTTTCTTGAATCCTAATATTTTGATATTTTAAAAAAAAACCTTCAAATAAGGGTTATTTTTCTAACAAGAACCTGGAAATGAGCTGGGTGCTCCAAAAGGACTGCCATTGTACTTACAGTGCAAAAGACACCCATCAACCTGTCACATCACACCACTTAATACAAAATTGTATGTTAGAGCCATAAAAATAATACTAAATAAGAAAAGACTGACCAAAATAATATGTTTACACTGTAAAAATTCAAACTTTATATCCTACTCAGGCTCAAAAATTAATCCAGAAATATAGTATAACTGCTATTATGCTCTACATTGCCTGGGATTTTTTTTGACACTAGCTTCTGTGTCTATTATTTTTATGTGTACCTCACAAGGAAGAAAGTCTGACTAAATAAAATTTTTTAAAGGGCTGAAACCTTTCTGTATTAGAAATAGCAGGCTTAAATGAAGTTGTCAGACCTGTATTCGGTACGATAAACTGAATACATACCTTTGACATGATGAACCAAGGACACAATGTGCTGAATAAATGATTCTGACGTGCTTTTGCTGGCCTGTGGCAACTTAATGTGGTCAAAGATGGATCGGAACTCTTGCTCCTTCTTGACGGAATGGACAAGTGTGCTAGCAAGCAGCCTGTCTTTAGTCAAGGAAGCAGGTCTAAAATGCATCAACAACAAAAAAAGACACACAAAAAGAAACCACTAGTTTAAATAAAGATGAATGACACTGCAGGCAGGTGGAGAACCACACTGTAAAGAGGAATAATTTACCTATTGGAATCATCAAGAGGTACCGGTGCCATTTTGAGTTTAACTTCGGGACGATGGGAGTCACTGGCTATCATTTTGATCCTAAGTGGGCTCTCCTCTCTGAAGGTGGATTTTTCTCTCGCATCCAGATTCTTGTGTAGAGGGGGACTGTAATCAAAGAGTTCTTTGAGCTTTTCAGACTTTACCTGCTCAGGTGACTGACTTTCTTTCTTCATCATTAGTCTCTCAGAACTCTTGTCTTCTTCCTTGTGCTTATCTTTTGTTGCACTAGGCCTTTCCACTACATAGCCAGTCTCTTTAAGCTTATAATTTTTCTCATCTCTAAATCCATCGCTCTCTCTATTGCCCTTGATTGATATTTTAGATTTGTATTTGGTTCCTTCCTCCTCAGCATTCCGGTGAGATGCAGTAGGAAAATTTTTACCCTGATCTGCCAGGACAGACTTTCTGAACTGTCTGTAATCCTCTGTCTCCTCTGTGTCCTCCCCTTCAGAGTCATTAAACTTTTCTTTCCCAGTCTCTTTATCAACGAAAAAATCTAAAGTTTCCTGTTCCTCCCATTCCCTTTCTCCCTCTGTCCTCCCTTTTTCTGATCCTCTCTCCTTCTGGGCCTCCTTCTCCCTGGTATTACCCCTATCAAGCAGGTATACTCTAGACTCTTCATCTGTGTACCTGTGGATAGCAAAGAAGAGACTGGTAACTCTGGATTGCATTCATTCCAGTTCACTTGCATTCCTCTTTTCTGTCAATCCCACACCAAGAAGAAGAAAATACATTCCTCTGAGCAATTCAACTTCAGCATGCAACACTCCGCACACCATTAATACTGTACCCACTGTCATTTACGTACTGCTGGGGGCACGTGAAGAATGTAATGCCTTTCTGTAGAACACCTAGAAATTCTGTGCTTGAGTTTATAAACAAGTGGTTGGTTTATCTGTTCTTTCTTAATCATTACCCAGTTTCACATTCTCTTACACCAGTCTTTTTTTCCATCAAATTCACATGAAATTTGATAATTCAGCCTGCAATTCATTTTTGTACTTCTTTTAGTGAAAAAGTTTAAGGAGTGCCATAAAAAAAGCTAATGATTTTCAAGATCCTGCATATTTCTAAAAGAATTCCAAAATCTGACACTGACTTAATGCATTCACTATATTGCATGCAAGCAGGGAACCTTTAGAAGGCAGCTCTCCTAAACACAGAAACTCTATTACCAAGTAATTATTTCAGTCACTGCCTTAACTGTTTTCACATAAATCCTAATATGTTCACCAACTCCACAACATCTAACCCAGGGGAAGTCTTTTTTTTTTTTTTAAATCTTCTAAGCAGTATATTTTCACATAATAAACCACTGTCTGGACAAATTCATTTAAAAGGTTACAGTCAAACCTATACAGCATAGTCACAGCTTTGCTCTATAACTCATTTTATAAGATAACCACTAAGGTAAAAATCACATGAGAAAGGAAGAGTCTAATGTCAGTAAAATTTTTACAACTTTTTAAAATTACTACTATATAAAACATTTTAAGAGCAAAGAATTTCACGTTAACTGAAAAACATACATTCAACTTAAAATATGTTGTCCTTCATGTTGATAGAATTATGTGCCAAAATACCAAGACCTACCCTCTTTCATAAGTAATGCAAGCCAATGCATCAAAGCTGTCATACCGCACCACACAATTAGCAATGGATGCTGAAGAAATCATTGTACAACATCTGCTTTCTTAGTCTGCCACAAGATTTCCATCTCAAACTACACAAAGCATTAAAATTTTAAAGTATTTGAACAGAATTCATTATGAAGCAAGCAAGTCTGATGCACTATTCCAATTAAGATTTTTCTTAACAGTAAATGGTGTATAAGAAAATACACTGTAAAGGAAAAGCACAAACCAATTTTTCCTCAAGGACACATGTCCCTGTCTCCACTAGCCAAGAACTTGAAGCATCTTAGGAGGAACAGAGGTATGTTTCAAGCTCAATTCCAGCCAGACTAAAATTAGTAGTATTTATTCCATAGTGTTCCATATTGCATTTTCCAAGGCACAGTGATGATCTTGTCCAGACTCTACAACAGACAGCATTTTAAGAGGCAACATTAAGCTTATAATTTAATTCTTACCTTTTCATAAACTTTCCACCTTTTGCAGTTTCCTGTTCACCACCCTCAGGATAAAATGACCGCACTCGAGCCTCCTCACGAGGAGCACTCTGTGATGGGATTGTCTTTGCAGGGCTTCTCCTTGAAGGGATGTGATGCAATGGGCTATTCTGAGAAGGACTGTAACGGCTAGAACCATTTCCAACAGAACCAGAGCCAGACCTCTCAGGACTATGCTGAATGGAATGGGAATGTTGAGGTGTGTCCTTTGCTGAGTGGGCTGTGCTAAGCAAAGGGGCATCAGAGCAAGATGAACTAGGTGGGGTGGCAATAGAAGGACTATGGGGTGACCTTGGACTGTTATCATAGGCTGAAAGGCCAGGCCAAATGTCGCCAGAAGCTGCTGATGATTTGTTAAAATCGTCAAGAGACTCTGATGGGTCATGTTCAAATGTATCTTTCTGTTCATCTTGTGATTTACTTTTCGAAGGGCTATCTTGCAAAGGAGCCCCTTCAGTTTTCTTTGCCTGCTTTTCCAGAGACGCACGTCTTTTGGAAGAGACAGGTGATTTGCTGTATGGGGATGAAGAACGAGATGAAGAGGACCTTGGGGACCTGGAAGATCTGTAAGACCGACGAGATCTGCTCCGGGACCTCTGGGAAGACACAGACCTTCGTTTTGGACTTCTGGAACGTGAACGGCCACGCCTAGGGCTTCGGGAGTGTCTTCGGTTCCAGACAGGCCTATAACCTCCACGATGGTATCTACCACCACCTCCTTGATAATACCCTCTACCTCTTCCTCTGTAACCATAGGGACGTCTCATTCCTCTATTATTTCTGTAATCTCTGCGATAATCTCTAGAATAAACACGATCCCTGCTGCGAGATCGTGAATATGTCCTTGATCGAGACCTAGAACTAAAAGTAAAAAGCAAACATTAACATGTGAGAATTAAAAAAAAAAAGGTGTGTGACACTAAATGTTAGATTTCTCAAATTCAGTCAGAATGGTAAAGGAAACAGACATAGTCATTAAGTAGCTTCTACAATCTATCTTTATTGTTTATTTCTGTCTCAAAGGATTATAATAAACATGTCTATACTCCTAAGGGCTGTGAAACTTAGACTTCAGCATCACAATTAAGACATTACCAGCCTCAGTGGCTTGCCCTGCCATTTTATAAGAGATTATCACCACTCTGGAACATGGCATTCCTCAGCCATCACAGGTCACAGCCCGGAACGTGAAGTTACATGACCCCCCCAGTTTAATACACCAGCCTGTGGACACCAGCTGAAGAGGCAGTAAACATTCAGTTCAGCCACTTCTTTTATGGGAGATGGCAATGTCCACTAGTAAGAAAGGTGAGGAAAAGGGTGGAGGCAACTGAGAACACAAGATAAAGCAAAGCTTATCTGCTGAAGCCTTAAGTTACTCCAGATCTGAAAAGCTGCATGAGAAATACAGAACAAG